CAACTCTCACCTAAATATAGTCTTAAATAAATTGAGCACTAGCAAGACTGTCAAAGAATTAAAAAAAAAAAAAAAAATAGAAGTAAATTAGCCCTTATATTAGATGTATAGACTGTATGCATTTAGCAGTCCTTTCTTGATATTACTATCTATTGGGTTGATGTTGAATGGACAATGCATACTATTCTCCTTAACCTAATTCTTTTACATGATATACACACTAGTGATTACCTTGGAGAAAAGATTCTTGATCTTATAGAGAGCTTTGAAATTAAGGAAAGAGTAATTGGATTTACAGGTGATAATACAGTATATCTAATAACCAAACATGCTTGTGTTATCTTTAGCAAAATATAAACTCTAAATTTATATATGTTTGCTGTGCAGCACATATTCTAAATCTTGTTGTAAAAGAAGGTCAAAAATTTTATTCAACCTAGATAAAAAAAACTTGGCAGCTCTGTAACAAAATTAAAATCTCTATTATTCTAAATTATCCTTTTCTCTATCTTAAACTCGATATCAATACTAGGTGAAATTCTACTTATTTTATGCTTAAACAATTTGTTGAAATTAAAGATATTATTAACGGTCTTGTACAGTTACATTCTAATTTAAGAAATAAATATCTAAAGCAAAATGATTGAAAAATAATTAAAAATATGTTAAATTTTCTTAAACCTTTTTATGATACAACATTAATATTTTCAAGTGCTTCATTACCTTCTTATAAATAATTGTTCAAGATCTTTTTGCATATTTAGATCATTATATTATAAATAATAATACATATCACAAAATAGCAGAAGGAATAAAAATTAAATTAAAAAATTACTGCTTTTTCTTTCAGAATTTTCCATGATTTCAGCACTCCTTGATCCATCAACTAAATTCGAAACCTTTAACAAAGAGGATTGCCAGTTTGCTATAAGCCAATTAAAAATTTTATATTCAATGTATCATATTGATAAGGTCATATCACCTAAGCAAGGAAATTCATTGGATAGCTTTTGTAAATTAATCCAATCAAATAAAAGTAAAAATGAAACAAGAGATCTAGCAAGAGATTTAACAAACAAAATAGCTGTCTATCTTGTATTATCCACAAAACCAAACATTAATCTACTTACATGGTAGAAGAATAATTCTTCTCACTTTTCAACTATAGCTTCTGTTGCAGTGAATTATTACACACTTCAAGTTACAAGTGTCCATGCGAATGCACCTTTTCCATTACGAAACACAAAACCAACTTCTTGAGCAAATGACTAGAGCTTCCTTGTGTTTGAAAAATTGAATAGAAACTAGTGTTTTAGGATAAATAAATATATATTATAAGTTAAATAAAATGAAAATTTTCATATTTAACATTTTTTGTATCTAATAAAATTGCATTAGAAGTTTTCTACATTTTCAGTATCTCATTATGATATCATGTGATGGTTACAAATTTCACATGATAATTGGGACTCGGTCCCAAGTCTGACTTGGGACCGAGCCTAAATTAAAACTCGACTTCATGGAGTCGAGTCGGACTGGACCGGACTTTTAACATCCCTAGCCCTGGGGCATTAGGGTATGCGATGTCCTATTGTTAACAAAATCATATATTAAAATCGGTATCACCATTTTTTACATAACCTACAACATTTCCGAAATTCATATAGTAATAAGAAATCGCTATTCTTCCTTTATTTTCTACGATAGCGATTTAAATTTTGCTTGAATCTAATAAGAATGTGTTTTAGTTTAATAATATAGAAAGTTTTTAATTTACAAAAAAGCCAATTATGTAAAAATCGTTTCTAAAAATTGGCTTTTTTATAAATCAAAAAAGTTTTCTATATTATTAAACTAAAACACATTCTTACCTGTTAATAATTTAGATAGACGTTTTGGTTTTTCTTCAACTTTGAACGAAGATATCTCCACTACCACCAAACCAAATTCGATTATTTTTTTTTATTTAAATTCTATGAATTCATAGAATTCAAATGAAAAAAAAATCAAATTTGGTCCGGTGGTTATGGAGATAGCTTCGCTCAAATTTAAAAAAATGGCGCAGCTTTAATTTTGATAGGTGTTTTGTTTTTTTTAACTTTGAGCGAAGATATCTCCACTACCACCAGACCAAATTGATGAATTTTTTTTTATTTAAATTCTATGGGATTCATAGAATTCAAATAAAAAAAAATTATCAAATCAAAAAAAAAAAAAAAATTATCAAATTTCGTCCAGTGGTTGTTGAGATAGCTTCCTCAAAATATTAAAAAATTCTATTAGTCTATTCTATAAACGCATCAAGAACGTAAATCAATTTTGAGGTACATTTTAGACCTATCAAAAAAGCAACCGCAGATCAATCAAAAACGATACTTTTGCTGCAGTGGTATGCTATAGTTGTAAGTATACAAGCGAGAGGGTTTATGTTTATAGTGTGATTTAGCAATTCGAAAGAGTGTGTGATGTATATTATAGAATCGATTGTAGTGTCCGTTATTTATAATAATAAACTATCGTGGCAAACATGCCTACATAAACTATCTACTAATAAGTACATATGTCCCTTGAACTATAAATGTCCTAACCGCTACAAATGTCCCTAGTATCCCTAATACCATAAATACCTCTTATATCCCTTGATCCACTTAATTCCCTTGTGCTATAACTGGGACATACGGCACAATGGGCACATGTAGCACATTCGGCGTAAACCCGTGACTCATAACCCTGATGTAATAACAACCGAACAGGGCCAGATCAGCGAGGGTAACAACCCACGGCGGGCATGTGACCTCGGGGAATCCAAATTAGGATCTACCGACCAGAAATTCCAGATACAGTATACTGTACGAAATTAGAGCCACCTTGTGAACCACAAATTCTATTACGGTGTGAAACCGGAAACGTGGCCTGAAGCAGGCGACCTCGGTTATTTCCAAATCCGGATTTCCCAGCCAGAAATCCGTCTGGGAGAAATGGCGATTTTGGGATTAATGGAAATATAGCGATAGGCAGATAAAATGATTATTATAAAATAAAGGCCTTCTTGCCCTTGGGAAAAAACAACTCCCGCCTTTGCTTAATTAAATTCATATAATCTTACAAGTATCAAAAGTAGTTACTAAGACTATTCTTTACCTAAAGCTTTCTTAACCGCTCGCCAAATCTAATTGCCTTTTTCGACCCAACTTCACCTAATCTTCGGTTACACGAAGCACCTATCGTTCTAGCGACAGATCGCCAATTTTAGGCCTGTCAACGGTACATATAAAGACCTTGTTGCTAACGCTAAAGAATATTTGCCGAGAAATTCACCGATTTCAAACACAAGATTACGCATATAGTAAATATCAGTACACATGTATCAGTAAACATGCATATGGTATTTTTGCTACGTGATACTGCTTGTAGCAATCCTAGTTAGTAAATATTAAAAAACACAAATTTGTTTTTCGGACGTTTTGTTTTCATGTTTAAAAAATGAATTCTAATGAAATTCGTAAACTCGGATATAATTTTCAACATGGAATTGGAGTTGAAAAAGATGAGAAGAAAGCTTTTGAATATTATATGAAAGCTGC